ATTAAAAATGATAAGTGAAAAGTATGTAAAGAATGAGATTATTTAAGTGAGTGCTGGTATTCTGTACCTTAAAATTAAGTCTCCCAGCTCTTTCTTTCAATAAAGTGTTTTGGTGGTTATAAAACTACTATTAATTACTATTAATAGTGTTGGTTGTTATAAATTACTATTAATACATATGTGTCTTCAACTTGTTTCTATAATCATTCAGTGACATGTAAGATCATTTGAAAAGGACAACTGGGGGTTTGATGGTCAATATTATCATAATAAAGATGAAACATAATTGAGGATCAAATCTAATTTATGGGTATACATTAGCGCATGATTATTATTTTTAATGATCAAAAAAATTAAACCTACGCAACAAATGCTCCACAGATCCGAGGCATGAGAGTAAATTATTTTATATTTTGCTGTAGCTTGCAAAGTCAAAAGGCGCTTCATTTGACATTATTTATAATATAAAAGAGTGGTTTTGCTAACCAAAAAAAAGAAATCTATTCCTATAACTATACATATTGATCACGTTTTCAAAAAGCATTTTCTAAAATGTCTTAGTAGAATAATAATATGACTGCACCTTAAAATTCATAATTTTTTAAAATTTAAATAACCAAATTAACTCAGAACTATTAATACACTTGAAAGAGCAAACTAATATGAGCATATTTTAATGTTTGCTGCTTTATGGTAAGGATGCATAAGATTTTATATTCACAGAATGTGTTAACATTTAAAAGTCCTTTTCAATTGTGAGAACTATAACGGTTTTATGCAAAGAAGAACAAACATGTGACCTGCAATAATTACAACGTAGAGACCCTTGTTTTTCTTTTACATGAAGGAAGTATTGGCATTTGCCAATATGCCGATTAATGGCATTTGCCCTAACTCTTCTACAAATTCAAAAGGGTTATTTAGTAGATAGCAAGTTTCATATAGATCACTAATGTAAATTGTCTCTATTTGTTCTGTTTTTTGTAACACTGAAACAGAAATTTTAACACAGAAAATTACTTCCTTCTATGGGTTCAGTGAATCACTATAAAGCAAGTAGATTTTCCACTAAAACAATGTTCCATCTGAAACTTAGGAAATAAACAAGCAGAGAACCTTCTTTACCAGGAAAAAATTGTTGAAGATATTAAATCTGTCTGATTCCAAAATTACCAAATCACTCTCGAAATCTCTCTCTTACATTCCAGGCAAATATCAGAATTGCATTAACTTACAATTCTCATTAGAAGTCTAGTTTAAAATACACTAACATTTACAACCGTATCCTACAGACGTCCTCGCACAAAATATCATCTATCAATCAGCCTAATTGAGTTCATACAACAAGTACTTGATGAATTTCAGTGGCAGATTGTTTTTCATGGCATCAGTAAACTAGACCGCACGTATATTTTTGCAACCTTCTACACACAGTAATTTTGAACACTTTAAATGTGCCATCATAAATGATACAGTGACTACGTAGGAAAATGCTATTTAAGGATGAAGTCTCATGTCTGTAGTTTACTTTGAAATGACTCAGTAGAGAAAAAAGTGCTTATACAAATAGACATGCATATAGGTAGAGACATAAAGCAAATATGGCATATATTATAGACGATGTGTGTGTGGATATTCATTGGACTATTCTTTCAACTTTTTTGTATGTTTGAAAATTTTATGTTTTAAAATATTTTAAAATGGGATTTTTATACCTCATTGGTTTATCCTTAAAAGTAGGTTTTAAAAATTTTCTTTCTAAAACATATGAAGTTTAAAAACATAAAGAGAATCAAGACTCTTCATTTTCTTAGAAATTATTTTTTATAGTTTACTGAGTATTCTACATTTTTAATTTTCTTCACGTTAAGTACTGTTTTCCATCTGAACTGGCTGTGAATAATTAATATTACCAATTAAACTCAAGAAAACATGAAATCAAGAAAATTACTTAGGTTTTACACAGTATGCTTTTCTTTTACTCTTCATATTTTTCCGGACTTTTCCCAACATTCACTGTTACTAGACACTAACTCCATTCACCTGTCCTCTCGAAAATAACCAGGGAGCTGGGCCTGTCATACTTAACACTTATTTCAAAGCCTATTGGCACTCAAAATTTGCAAAAAATTTTTTTAATGGAACATAAAGCGAACAAGGTATCGTCTTATAGAAAATCATGAATGGGGTAGTTTTTTGGTTTGGGCTTTTTTTGCGTGGCTTTTTTGGAGTTTTAATGAAGAGCTATAGAAGCTTCAGGCAACGTCAAGGACCCAGAGAAAAACTAAGAGAATTTTAAAAATTTAATCATAGTGTCTTCTCACTCTCCTCTACAGATTTTCAGAACACCAACATTTTGTATGGGGGTCATACAAAAGTCAGCAAAAGCACCTGTCATACACCACTGCCACTAAAATTCCTATATGCACTGTTGCAACTGCTTCTTAAAACAAGGTAACTGACTATTTCTATTCATCACTGCTTTTGTTAGATAATAATGACTTATTTTTCTAGGCATATTTTAATTTCAACAATAAATTTATCATTAGGAAATTGGATAAATAAGCTTCTTATGAATGTAGCTTCCCCCAAAATGCCACACCTTCATTTGACCAATGCTTATTTTAAATTCTCTCTACTTTCATAACATGAAAATCCCTTCAAAACGTATGCTATTAAAATGTCTAAATTTGGAAAACATCTGGCTTGTCAAATTATTTGGCGGGCTTGTGGTTTTAAGGACATTGTTTGAGGTGGTGTATTTGGAAAGAGTTCACTTATCACTCTCAGGCTTCATAGAGAACTAGCTCCGAAAACAAATGTATGTGGGAGTTCAGTGCTCCCATAGAGAATCAATAGTCATCTATTTAATTTGCTAAGACAATGTAAATTAGTAACTTCCAGCCAGATGTGTGATATACACATCAAACAAACTGCAACCTGTTTATTATGAAAATCCTGTCAACACACACAGGGCCACTTGATGGCATTTCATCTAAGGCAGTTTCCACATTTGCAGCCATAAAAATTGTCCTAAAAATTTTTATACAAAGAACTGGAGCCGAGACTCATAAAAGGGTCATCAATTTCAGCTTTTCATCTTGTGTGCTTCTGTGTGTTTATTTCTATTTTCATTCAGAGGAATAAAACATTCAGAGAAACGTGTGCCATGCCATTTTTTCCTTCTGTAAGTCATTTATCCTCATTACATCATTTTAATCAGATGTAAAGTTGGTAGCCTCATCCTGCCGCTCTGAAGAAGTGTGTAAAGTGAAGAACGACAGAGTCAACAGAAGAAAGAAAGTACACTTATCCACTGGAAAACAAAACAGAATATTTCAAAATGACTCCAAACATAAATTAAGTTTACCCATTGGGAAGTCTAACTTGCATTCTGATCATTTATATGGGTCTGTGTGACTATATAGCCTGCTGTTTGATAAAAAATGATTACTAACCACAGGCACCCACCAGAGAACAGTGTATGTATAATGCTATGATGTCTCAGACATACAAAGCACCTTCTTAAAGAATGTCCATTTCCTTTCCAAGGTAAGCAGACATAATTTTTCACTCTTTAATACTTCTGCCTCACAGAGTGGCTTCTTTTATGAACTATGCTTTGCCATTTTCTCTTATGTTTATTTTAATAATGTGAAAAATGGCATTCATAAAATAGATGGTTTTGTTTCATGATACCTAAAATATTGATATGTTTTCTGCTCTGTATGAAAATCCACAGCCTTCTTGCTAATACAACAACCTAATAGTATTTATTTTAACACCATTTACTCAAATGAAAGAAATAAAAAGATTCTTCTTAATAACCAGCTATTATTCTTGAATACTGAATCCTTGTCTAAACCAAATTCATTTTCCAAGTCCATTGAATTAAATTTTCTTATGAAACAGGGCACAGAGTAAACAGTCTTATTGCCAAGCATACCATTTCCAACTACTATATTTTTAATTTGGCAATTTGAAATAAGGTGGAATGAATCTAGTCCTCATCACCTATAGGGTAGTCTGATTCCAATAGCACCCCTTAACCAACTTCCTAACGTCAAAGGAGCAGTTCTACTAAGTTCCCCGGGGTGTCAATGCTTCCAAAGTAAATAACTCCTGAGGTCTCCTAAAAGCACAAGAATTTCAACCTCTATGAAAAAAGAACTGCACACACAAAAGGGTTCTTCATGAAGGCTTCAACCCTAAGCAATTCGACTTTCGCAAACATTATACAGAACGTGCTTTCCTCACCAGCCACACACCAGGCCACGTGATCAGCCTGCGGGGCCACACCGGCGACCAGAAACGATTGTTATTTCTAGAAAGAATAGCCTCAAATGCGGCCACCGCAGTTGCCCAGCCAGCCGCACCCGCAGGTGGCACCAGGAGGCCGGCTCCTCACCCAGTGATTCCGTCACACAACGCACGGGGCCTGGGCGCCGGCCAAGACTCGCAGCATTAGCTCGGATCCCTTTGCTTTCTGAAGGTTCAAGTCAGACCCTCTTGGTCACTTAAACCCCGTTTGTGGTTCAGGGAAAGAATCACTCTCTCAGAACTCTTAACTTTGATTGGAGACTCTGGTTAAAATTAAGAACTTCAAACCCAGATTTGAAAAAGTGAAACAGATGTCCTGTTTGTTAACCATAAATGGCTCCGTACGTCGGATCCTTTCCACTTTTTTTTTTCCTTTCTGCTGCATTAAGTTTTATTTAATGCAGAGTTCGCTTAAAAGGTTAAAAGAGAGAGAGTAGAAAGCAAATATAGACTATGGATGGAAAACTCCTAAATCTTTCTCCAGAATATAACGAAGGAAGCCTCTTCATAAAGATGAAAGTGCTCAAGCCGCCGCCTCCCAGCGCAGCCAGCACTCGGGGTTAACACCAGCGTCCCCAGTGGACCCCAGACTCGCCTAACCCGACCGTGCGCACCACCTGCACCCTCGTCCAGACCAGCGTCGCCTGGAGTGGCTGAAGGGGTCCCCGGGTTGCACTCACGTGAGAACGTAGTTGACGCTGACGATACAGTGTGGCCTGGACGAGCGGCTGTTGTGCACGATGGTCGCGTAGCTCTGCACCCATACCCAGCCGCCGTGCTTCGCCAGGAACCTGTAGTACTTGGTGGTCACCTGCCCCTTCACCAGCACTGATGGAGAGACAGAAGGCAGCAGGTGTGAACGAGCCCGCTCTGGACCGGCCCCAAATGCAATCCCTGGCGGTGGGAGTGCGGGTCCCCTGTGGGCCCTAATAACCGCGCCCGGCTGGAGGGAGAGACGACCAGCACATTCCAAAACGAATTGATTGTGTTGTTAATTTGCATTGAATCCTCCGGTCCCTCACCATTAACAAAGCGGGAAATGCTTAAATTTGGGGGATTCTGCGATTCTATTTTCTAACTACGGAAGGCGGGGTCTGGGCAGCCGAACTCTGCCGTTCATGTTCCCTGTCTCGTGAGATTAAGCTCAAAGCAAAACTGTGTCAAAAGCCAAGGGAGTCAACGCGGGTGAGCCTAGAGGTCTAGCTTCGCTTCTCGTTCCCACCTTTAGTGAGGTCTAAGTTGGGGGAAGCATATCAATAAGAGAATAAGACGCTTCCCGGGAGGATTTTGCCGGCAAACTCGCCCTTGGCCTGTGTGAGCTACCCGCGGACGTTAGAGAAACGAGTTGGGGCCCAGGGTTGGAGCGGCCTCACACACCACCACCACTCGGCAACGATGGCTCCCACCCGTCCTCGGGCTGTGGACTTAAATCATGCCCCACCCCCGCCCGCCAGGATGCGCAGGGGTTGGCCCAGCGCTGGGCAGTATGGCGCCTTACGCAGGTGGTGAGCGCAGCGCAGGTGGAAGGTGTCGCAGCCGTGCACGTGGTGGTACAGAGTCTTCTCAATCAGGTCCTGAGGTTCGTACCCCGTCAGCTCAGCCACTCTGCGGAGAGCAATCCCCGGGGGATGAGCGCCAAGTGCGGCGGGGCCCCCTACACCCCAGACAGCATCTCAGGCCCGGGTGCCCACCCTCAACTTCACAGGGGCCCATCAGTCGCCTCGTCTGTAAAATGGGCTCCCAAGATCGACCACGTGCTCTTGCTCACTGACCAGAGCCACCCATTAGCTAGGGGCGCCCATCTGCCGCCCCGGCCACCCACCTGGAGTCCAGGAAGATGAGCTTCATGTCCAGGCTGGCGCGGAACATGAACATGTTGCTATGCAGCTTGATCTCCGTGACGGCGCTGGGGGGCAGCGAGTGGCCCACGGCCACCAGGCCCACGTTCTGGTAGCAGCCGTCGAAAGGGGACATGTCCAAACTGTACTGGCGGATCTTCAGGTAGCCGCTGCAGTGAATGACCTGCGGCGGGGCGTAAGGGGGTAAAACTCAGCCACAGCCAGGAAACATCCCAGAAAGGTGGGGAAGAGATGGAAACGTTATGAGACTCTCCTCGGCCACAGATGCCATGTGGGCCACTCCCCCACACGGAAGAGCACAAAGTTATTTGTGCTCCAAGATGTCTCAAAGGAAGGAATGCACAGCCACACCAAACTCACCTGGGGGCTTGTAAACAATGCAGGGGCCTGGGCCCTCCCAACCCCAACGCATTCGAATCGCGAAATGGGCCCCTGGAACCTGCATCCTAATCATGTTAAATCTCATTGAACAAGAGAACTACGGATTTCAGGTAAAGCTCTGGTTCTTCACCTCTCTGGGGGTCAGATTCTGACGCTCTGAGTGAACTCGACGAATCCACCAAAGTTACCATTTCGGACACTTTACACACCCCTAAGGCCCATTATGGGCCCCAGGTTAAGAGCGCCTGCGGCCGAGCAGTATACCGACCCAGGGAGACTTAGTCTTAAAATGCAGCCCCCAGGTGTTCACAAAGTTCAATGACTCTCCTGGTGAGGCCGGCCAGCAGCGCTCTGACGCGTGTGGGGGCGCCCTCTGGGGCGGTCAGGGCAGCAGAAATGTCCCTCCCACGCCGCACGTGCCTCGAGTCCTGCCCGCTTCGTCTACACCCGGCTAGGTGGCCTACGTACCTTGTAGCCGCCGCAGGTGAGGCCCGCATTCCTCTTGGCCAAGACGCACTTCATCCTCAGGAAGAAGGAGCGCTCGATCTCGTACTCTGGGAGAGGGGAGGGAAGAAGGCGCAGGACGTGAGACAGGCGGTGAGGCGCCAACGCCGGCCCTGGCTAAGGAGAAAAGCCACAAACGGACTGCGATGGGCCCGAGTGTCCCAGGCACGTGTCTGCCTTACCCTGGACGAAGTGAGAGTGATAGGGCTGATGCGCCGTGAGCACGGCCGTCATCTCGTCGTGATCGGCCGGGTGGATGTATTCGTAAATGCTGTTCCCCGTCAGCTCTACCTGTAAAGAGGAGGGCGTCACCGTCTCCGAGGGGGTGGAACATCCCGTGAAGGGACTGGAAGATGGGGTTAGGGGGTCCACAGGACTGTGGGGACAGGAGCCAGGACTCTAGAGTAGGCCCTGAGTTCTAATTCCAGTTCTGCCCCCTGCTGCTTATTGCAGCCTCTCTAAGCCTCAGTTTCCTTATCTATGAAAAGAAATAATAATAGTAATTATAATCATAGTAGTAGTAGCTCCCTGGGAATGTTCTGGTGAAGACATCGTGACATAAGTATGCAACCACCTCCCTTGGTGTGTGGCTTATTGTAAGGATTCAAAAAGGTAGCCACTGTTTGGTCTGGGGTAGAAGCTGGGGTGGGTAAGGGAAGGAGAGGGAGGGAGACATCCAGACCTCCTGCCAGCTGAGATGTTTCCAGCCCCAGAAATGCACATATAATGCACATATAAAGCTTTGGGAAAGTGCCCCCCCCCCACTACACCCACCCCCCCTCCTGCCTCCAGCTCTGGCTGTAAACATTGAAGGCTGGAGGTGTGGGCCACTCACCTACCTGAGAAAGACCCAGGTGGACGGAGGCTGTCTCCGAGATGTACATGATCTTCCCATCTGGTGCCACCACAAAGATGAAGCCATCCAAGGTCTGGGGAGATAGAAACAGAGTTTAATGGAGAGCCCCCTGGGCCATCAGAAGAAGTTGAGGGGGAGGAAAGACAGAAGTTAGAGATGTTCAGGCAGAAGTACAGAGAGATGGAGTCAAGAGGGGCTGGAAGGAAACAGCATAGAAAACCAGGCACAAGAGTCCCCTCTTTCGTACATTCCAAATCTGTAAGCATCTAGGACAGGCAGCACACTGGGAGAGATCCAGAGGAAGTGGTGGACAAGTGGTGGACTGCCCTCCAAGACTCAGGATCTACCAAAATGCACCAAGCAGACACATTTGTAACACACACACACACAAACATTCTGGGGGTGGGGGAATCACAGCCTGCAATAGGAGGTGGGTTAGGTTCTTAGGTGACGGTAACTGAAAGAACCAGAAGTTTCCCGTGTCAGTTTTGGAGGACTCCATAGTGACAGCATCCTATAACGGGAAGAGCGCTTGCCAGGTTTGGGACAGGAGGCACTGGGCACTGTGGAAGGGCTGGCAGTGTGAAAAGTCTGTACAGACAGAAGGCAGTGGCCAGCGGTTCCGCAAAGAGTCAGGGAGAGGGGGATTTAGGAGATGAGAGGCTTTCTGGGCAGCGAGGCCATAGAGAAGTGCTAGAGAATGTATGTGTGTGTGTTTACACTGATGCCTCAGACTGACAAGCTCTTCATGAAGGAAAATCATTCACTGTCCCTGTATCTCTGTGAATAAGGCTTTAGTCCAGGTAGTGGAGACATAAGGATGAGTCAGATCCTGTTCTCAAGGAGCTGGAAGTCCAGGAGAGGCCACTGGCTTGAAGACAGGTAAAATGACTACACAGCTGAATAGACGGTGCTGTGGGGGCCCAGAGGCTGAGTGAGCAGAGGCCCAGGGAAGAATCAGAAAAACCTTAGAGATATTTGAGTAGAGCCTTGGAGAGGAAGCTTGATCTGGAGAAGGGAGGAAGGGCATCCCAGGCGGAAGGAATGACATGGCGAAGGCAGGATCTGGGGGGAGGGCAGATCTGATGTAGTCAAGCGTGATGAGTTTGGTGTACCAGAGATGGGGCTGAGAAAGTACACTGGTGCTGGATTTTTGGCGAGTTTGAGATGTCAGTCTGAGGAATTCAGAGTTGCTCCTGTAGACATCAGTTCCAACAGAGGTTTCCAAGCAAGGGAAGAGCATGCTCAGATGTGTTTTTTTTCTGGCAGAATGTGGACAGTGACACACAGGAGGAAAGAGTGGAGAGGAAGAGATCAGAGATGGTCAAGGCTGAACTTTGGTTGTCACAAGGAGGATGGGGAAAGGGGAGAGTCTAAAGATGGTTCTAGCTGTGGAATTTATGATGGCAGAAAGAGAAGCCAAGACTGACTTCAAGGTTTCATTAAGGACATTGAGTAGACGGTAACACTACTAACCAAGATTGAAAATTTAGGGAAGCATGGTGATTGTCCTACGAGTGGAAGTCTGGAGGAGGGAGATAAAATGAATTCTTGTCTTGGAGGTGCTAAACTTCAAGTGTATGCAGATTGCCATTTGGATGTGTCTAGCTGGAAGCGGGAAATAAAGGTCTGGAGCTCAGGAGGGGTGTCTAGACTGGAGAAACCAGCTGGAGTCTTGCAAATGTGGGGGAAAGAGTTGAGGTGGTGGTGTTGGCTGAAATCACCCAGGAGGCCTTGGGTGATGCTGTGAGAGGAGAAACAGAGCTGGAACCTTGGGGAAATGCCAGCATTTACAGCCAGCCAGTAGTGGGAAAGCCAGAGGAGCAAGCAGAGAGGGAGAAGAATCCAGGAAATTGTGCTACTTTAGAAACCCAGGGAGAGGGAAAATGTAAAGTAAGCAGTGTCACTTCCATCAGGTCTTTGTCCAAATGTTACCTTCTCAGTGAGGCCCTCTGCAACCATCCCCATTTTAAATGGTACCATTCAAACAGCTCTCCTCCTTCCCCTTCAAATTTTTCCCATAGTACCTACACCACCTGTTATATTATGCAGTGCACCTGTATGGGTTTGCAAGGCTGCTCTCCTTAGAATGCAAACTCCCTGAGGGCGGAGCTTTCTGCCTGGCACACAGTTGGCACTCCTACATTTGTGGAATGAATGAGGTCAGGTAGAATAAGAGATGAGTATTTTATGCTGGATATCAAAATGTGGTGGAGTATGTGCAGAGCACAATGGCTGGGAGAGAGGCCAGACTGCAGGGGTGTGGGTGTGAGGGGGGCCGGGTAAGTGTGGAAATTGAGAGTGTAATTAAATCCTGTGAGAAGTTTGGGATAAAGAAGAGGAAAGAGATTGGGCAAGAGCTAGAAGGAGTGAGGAGTTTTTTGGGTTTTGTTCTCTTGTTTATATTGATGATGGAAATTAGCTGGGAATATAGAAATATTGGGGGGGGTGTCAGTTGTTGAGAGACAACTAATCCAAGGCATCCCTGAGAAGAAGGGAGGGACAGGACCTTTCTAGTTAAATTTGGAGGTGTGGAGGCTAGGCTTACGCGCGGCCTTTTTTTGCTCTGTGAAACTAAACTCTTTGGGGCCTATGGGATGGAGGGAGGGATGGGATAGCCGTGGGATGGGGAAGGCCATCAGACGCTGCTCATGCCTGGCCCATGAGGGCGAACTGGCTCAGGTTCCCCCAGCGCGGCTTAGGTTTGAGGCTCCCACATGAGGAGCTCCCAGTGGACTTGAATAATAATAATAAGGGGGTGCAGAGTGGGAGACAAGTGTCAAGCCTAAAAATGCCACCAGGAGTTTTACGATTTTAAATATTTGCTAGGCGACTTAAGCGGGCAGCGGGCAATTTGAAATGGTGTACACCGCAAACAACGCGGTAATGGGCGACTCCACATTGGTTAAACTCGTTGCCGGGGGAGATGTATGCGTGAACGCGAGGGTCTGTACGTGGCCTGGGGTGGCCTGGAGTGAGGGCGCGTGGAGAGAGAGGACAGAGAGAGGAACTACGGGGAGGAGATGAAACGAGTTGCAGACGCAGCTGGATCCGGAATGTGTGGGCTTAGAGCACTGACCGGCAATTCTACCAGATTCCCGTTATTTCCTGTGTAAATCCTTCATTTTGGACGGTTTTGCAGCCCGGCCTCGGCAGCTTGGCCCTGGGCTCCTGTTCCCTCAGCAGAAGGGTGTCAAATGGCGCCCCCTCCCTCGGCTCAGCCGCCCTGATTAGGGCTTGCGGGGCTGCCTTCCAAACCCAACGCGCCGGGTGTCACCTTGCCTCCCTCTCCGCCTCTCTAGGCGCCTTCCGCACACAGCGAGGTTAAGAACTAAACGTTTTAACTTTGGAGGAGGTGTAGGGGCTGCAAGAGGGCCACGTCCGGGCCGAATCCCATTTTTGTGGGAAAAAAGAAGCCGGGTGGGGCCAGGCAGCCGGGCCCTGGAAGCGTTCGCGCCGCCGGGAGGCCCGCGCGGGTACCTGGAGCAGATGGGAGCCCAGTTCGCGGCCAACGTTGTCCAGGGGGCTGGTCCGACTCGAGTGACCCCACGCCTCGCCGAGCCCTGAGGAGACACAGAGATGCCCTTTAGCGATGGGACTCCGACCCAGCTGGCACTTTGAGACTAGCCTAGCGGTTGTGTCACACCCGCATCTCGCACACAAGACTGCACACCATCGGGGCTCCCCCGCACCTGGAGAGCTAGGGATGCCAGCGGGTAACTTCGGCCTCGCCCTCTCAGCTCCTAGTGGGGCGAGCGGAGGTCAGACTCCCTCTCCCAGACAGGGCCAGGCTTCTCAGGGACGCCCCTCAGCGCCACGCCCCCCCACCGCAGGACCCCAAGTAGCCGAATTTGGGGACAGCCTGAAGGGGCCCCCGACACTGCACCCCAGCAATAACTTTTGCGTAGGTTCATTAGTGTGCTGAAGAGGGTGAAGGACACTAGTTCTCACCCAAACTTTCATCATCATCCTTATCACGAGGTGAGGATGTCCACACCTCCAGCAAATGCCGCTGCCCGCCCGGAGCGCCCTGAGGCAGCGGGCCGGGTCGAGCTGGTCCCTAGTGGGCTTTCTGATTGGCTGCCGGGCTCTCCAGCCATTTTTCTCCCCTTCCGGCCTCTGACTTGAATCCCCTTCGGAAAAATCCGTTCACTTGAGGCATGGTTCCCAGTACCAATATTCCTGCGCAATCCTCCTTCCTCTGCCCTTCCTCTCCTAGCCCCAGGCCTACACATCCTAAACACCTCCCCCCCAAAAACCACACAGGCTTTTTTGAAATCAGTTACTTTCCGGTGCTAACACCGTCTCAGCAGTATTTTCGTTCCCTTCTGGATATATGGAGAATCATTCCGTTTCTCTGCTGTCCAGCTATCATCTATTAACAAAGACAGCAGCTTCCTCTCCTTGGATGCTACCACGTTAAGATCTTTCCAGGCCTTGCCACAAATCGTTTCTCCGGTGATACCTAAAAAAGAAAACCCTCAAGATGCCCGGGGCTGATTTTTAAAAAATGAATATGGAGTCTGCTATAATACCTGTTTGCAGAAAGAAAATGAAAAATAAGGCAGAAGAAACTTGCTGAGACCAAGGTTAAACTAATTAATGGTAATATCTTTTAATAGTGTTGCTGCTGAAATTAATTTAGGTAGTTAAACTCTTTTATGCTTACGCCATTAAATAAGTTTTAACACGAGCGAAGAAAAGGGTGATTTACTGATTTACTGCGTTACAGGGCAAATCACTACGAAGTACACAATGACAAACACACTTGCATTGTAATACGGGGGTGGGGGCGGATCTTTCAGAATAAAACATGGAGTTGGACTCTTAAAATGTGTTGGCCAGAAGCGGCTTCCTAAGCAAGGAATCAAAACTCTGGTAACGAGTCACCGTGAGCACCCCTTAAGCTTGAATCGGGTCTTTCTGGGTGTTTGCACATCTAAATAAATCTAACGATTTCCCCACCGCTCTGCAAACACTGACGCTCCCCACCCGCGCCCGGACTCCTCTCCCTCCCTCGCGTCTCGTCAACTCCCCCTGCCTCTTTAGCCCGCCCCAGTTTCTCTCCCCAGAGGGGCTCCACTGCCTTGATTCCTGTGGTCCTCCTGGACCGATCCGGAGGGCCTGCGCCACAGCCTCCTGCACACACCCCTTCGCCTTGTCACCTTTCCTGGCTCCTCCCGTCTCAGCCAAGCTATCCTCGGTTTCTGGCACGACGTGTTCATTTTTTCCTCCCGTTCACACATACCCACCCAGAAGAAGTGGCAGGAGGGGTTGGGTGGGGAGGCCGCACAGGGGAAAGGGGAAAGAATCCTGCTGGGAGAGCCAGGGACGCGGGTGGCTCTGACCCCTGGACGCCGTGGGCCCAGCCGCGGCCTGAAAGCCCAGAGCTTCTCGGGGTCGAGGAGCTGGGAGCTGGCCAAGGCCGCGCAGCTTCTGGAATCAAGTCTTCCGCAACTTCCCGAAGGGTACGAAGCCTGCGCTTGGGGCCAGCAAGTGTCTTATACTCTAAAATTATGAAAGTCCCCCAAAGCGACTGGGAGACGCCGGGGAGCGGCCTCCCGACCCGAATCATCTGAAAGTCCCCCGAGCTGGACTCGGGGTTAAGTACTGGTTCCGAACTCCGGCGCCGGCCTGGGTTGTTTGTGTCTCGGGTTGCGGCCTCATTAGTATGCGCCTACGAGGGGAAAAGAAGACTTCCCCGCAGGTTAATAAACAGCCGGGCGGGCGCAGGTTAACAGGGGCCTCCCTCGCCCTCTCCTGCTCCCCCCACCCCACCCCGCTCTCCCCTCCTTTTTAAGGAACCTTTTGCTTTCACGGAGCGTTGCCTTCTCTTTATGTTCCCGGTCGAAATCTCCATCACATGGTTATGTCTGGGTTAATGTTTTATGAGAGACTGGCTGCCCTCGTCTACCTGCCGGGCTTTCCTGACCTAATACTAGGGCCGAGCTCGCTCTTCAGCCTGCCCAGGACACCTCCCGAAGCACCGGGCATGGGTCCCGCCTCCCGAAAATCCCGGAGTGGGTCAGAGACCCCTGTCGTCGGACCCCTCTCCTCCTGCCTGCGGTGACGCGCTCCCGCACCCAATTTCTGTTGGCCAGGGGGGTAAGCTGAGATTTCGTTTCTGCACTTGACCTACCGCAGAAAATTCGCAAATCCTTTGATGGTCTGTTTAAAATGAGGAGGAAACCAGCTCCCTTTGCGGCAGGATTACAGTGGGAACAAGATCTAAAGATTCTCTTGTAATTCGGCGAGGCCGAGGGAAGGGGGGTTTGCAAAGGAGAAAAGGAACCCTGTGAGGGAGGCGATAACTAAATCGGGTTTTAGACAAAAGGATTTTCCCCGGCTAAAGTGGCCGAAGACAAAAGAAAACATAATCTATTTTGGAAGATTTCCAAGATATGCCACATTAACCTTAGCAGATAAATTTTGCTTCTCCCTCCCCCTTGCCTTCAAGTCTGGTTTATCATATTTACATAAGTAGTATTAGAAGGGATGTATCTATTATGGATCTGAAGGGCTGGCTCACATTTCATGTGAAAACCCGGGGAAGTTTCACTGCTGCTTCACCCTCGGTGCGCGGTTGAGCCATTTCCATTTAAATACTCCTCTGACCCAAGGATTACCTCAATGGACTGACTGCACGGGTTTTGTAATTTCCTGAAAATGAGATTTCGATTTATAAAACAAGAAACCAATTAGTAACCAAATGAGGCGAAGTAGATCCACTAAAATTGACCTAATCCCACAGGCACAATTTAAGCCCGTTCTTGGCGAATGAATGATGAGCCCCGTCTAGCGTGAGCTCAAAGCATCATGCAGCTGTGTTATTGCAAGCAGCAAAAATAAATTGATCGAGCTTTTCCTTCGGAATGAATTTCATACCCTTGACAAAATATAGATTACAGACCCGGTATCATCGCCTCCGTCGCTCAGACGGGAAGAAGAGGAAGAGAAAATCTTGTGCTACTGTTTTTGTTTTGTTTTGTTTTGAATAAATAAACATTATATCTCAGTAGAAATGTGTCCTTGTAGTCGTTCCCGGGAATCTTCATCTTCCGGACGGATCGCGATATATGTGCCTTTTAGGTAACATAGGAAGGGGAGGGGACTGGAGGAGCTGTTCCATGACCTGACCACAACTTGGTGATTGAGGCGGGAAAAGCCCTCCGAGACCGCGCTGCTAACTTCGGGTCCCGGAGGGACTTGTCTCAGCCGCCTGGGTTTTCCGCAAGGCCTGCGGACCTCGCTGAGCGTACACTGTCCAAGCCTGTGCCCGGGGCCGGCAACCGAGCCGCCTGCGTGTTAGAGCTCGGGGAGCCTCAGCGGCTGGGCTCTCTGGGGACAAGAGACACTGAGATTGGGCGCCCTTAGCGGAGACCTTGCGCCGGGAGCCGTCGCTGAGGGGGAGGCAGCTTACGCACAGGGGCGCACAGCCCCCACCTTCCGGCTCGCGGCCCCCTCCGGCCACCCGGCGGGTGTGGCCGACCTCCCGAGGGCGTCGGCGGCCGCGCCGGGCCAGGTGTAGTCCCACGCAGCAGCCTGGACCCCACCGCGTGTCTCTGCGCTCGGCAGTGCGTGCCCTGCCCTCCCCTGCCTGCCTCTGAGAGCCCGGGTCGCGCCCAGGGAATCCGCAAACGTTAGCGTAAGCTGGGGTGGAGTCCGATGGTCACTGCGCGGACTCCCTCCCTCTGGGCGCCCGAGCCCGCCGCGAGGGAACGCGAACTGCAGGACCCAGGGGCGGGCGGGGTTCGGCCAGGTCCCAACTAAACCACGGGACGAAAGTGCACGCGGGGTCACAAGAGTGCCCGGAGTGGCGCAAGAAAAGCCTCAAGCGGCGTCACTCCAGGACTCCCGGCCTTCGAATGTGGCGGGGGGGGGGCACCGCCCCAAAGGCAGGCGACGAGGCCCACGGGGCTGCCCCGCGGCGCAGGCACAGGCCGCTTGGGTTTGACCCTGCAGCCGGGCCTCCGACGGCGGCACACGGCCCGCTGGGACGGATCTCGGTTTAAGGCGCTTGTCCTTGGGGCAGTGGCCCGGGCAGCACGAGGGATGGAAGGTGCATGCCGGCACCGGCCCGGCCTCTGTTCCGAGCAGGCCGGTGGAGACGTCCTGGAACCCTTTGCGGGAGGGTAGAGACCTGGTCGGGCGTGGGCAGTGAGGGGACACCGTGCGGAGGCCGCGAGCTGGCGCACCCTCGGCTGCGGCCACCTGGGCGAAGGCGGGCCGGGGCGCGGGCTGCAGCTGCGGGGAGAGGACAGGCCGCCCAGCTCGGACCTGGTGGGCCCGGCACACAGGCTCCCGCCGCTGCGTGTCTCCGGCCTTGCGGAAGGCGCGGTGGAGGCTTCCGCAAGGTCACTGTCTCTGGTCAGGTCTGAGCCACCGAGGTCAAGCGACTCCGCGCAGGATCCGCCTGCCCAGTGCGGCTACCTGCGGTAGGTTTGCTCCGCAATTCTCAGACATTGTTTTAGTACCTTCTGATTAGCAGGACCACTGCTAAATAATTGAGGGTCCCCGCCCCCCCCACACACACAAAACTTTAAAATCCATAGATCAGAGACTGGCAATGGGTGGACAGCTAAAATCATAAGGTGCTACCTGGGACTAAACCGCATTCTCTTGAGAAACACCTGGGCCGACTGATAGAGAAATACAGCGATAATCCATGGGTTCTGATTCCGTGTCCACATTTGTCTGCAAAAGGTCGAAGCTGCCAAGATTTCCCCAGAATTGAAAAATAACTCTCCCTAGAAATCAGGTTTGTTCTCTGGAAATATAGCTTGATCTTAGCTTCAGGTGGGTGATCGTACCCTGCTTAAAAGCATCCCACCATAGCTTATGACATCCTGTTTTTGTTGTTCTTGTTTGTATTAGTGATGGCTCCTTTTAAAGAAAAAAAGTATTTTTTTTCATTGATCTGATCTACAATTTCTAGCACATAAATCTGCCTTGCAAATGCTCTGCAGGAGTTTAGTTCTGCACTCTACATTTTATGTCAACATCAAAACTGGAATTAAACAGAGAAAACCAGCGTGGAGCGTAAACTGTGCTTAAAGTCTTTTAAATGAGAAAAACTTCTGTAAGAAAATAAACATGGAAACCTAATGCTCAATCATTTCCCCAAGCAGCAAGAAAAACAGCCTTAAATCACCCATCCACGTGGGAAATGGGACCTCTTTTTCTCTTTCAGTTCTCAGCCTCAAAAAAATATAAGGCGATTAAGGATTTCAATCTTGAGGTGAATATTATAGAAAGGGTCTGTGGAGGTTTGTTTAATCATCCTTGTCCTTCCAGCCTTTGTAAAGACTCTCTTTCCTGCACAGTTACTAATTCCAATTCTGTGAATATTTTTATTTTCCCAAGACATCTTGACAATGAAATGGTACTGTGATGTTACCAAGATTCTGAATGGCTATAGATTTGAAAACATGTCTGATCTTTTCAAGGGTTGTTCTGCAAGCCACTATGCCCCCAGCCAAAACTGTATTATATCTGGATAACATGTATTTCTTTTTAGTTGAATTTGTCCTATATTGCACACAAAGTCATGTGATTTTTTTTTTAATCCTGCCTTTCTGGCTTTGATAACACCAAAGACTTATACATTTCTAGATGCCTCAATTTTTCCTTTGCAAGGCTATTTTAGAACAGAATATGTTACCAATTGGGAGATATGCTGTTTTAATGATGTCACAGTAATCTTACCTGAATTTTATTTTTTACTATGAATCTACAATCTAATGCTTTATTCTTAATTATTCCAGGCACCCATATCCCATTTCTCTGTTCTCTCTCTCTCCTTTTTCCCTCAACAGCTCAATTTTATCTACTCAGATAAATAAAAGCTGAAATTTGCCCTCAGACAAGGAATCTACCAGACCCTGGGGGGAAAAATTGTATTCAGCAATTGAGAAAGCAGGCGAATTAGCTACATTTAAGAATTTTTTTATTTTTTCAAATATAAGTATGGAAGGATTTTGTTGTTGTTGATGTAAGCCTTTAGGGATTACAGAGTATTATAGATGAAATGTAATATGAGCAAAAACAATGGAGTTTTACAGTCATTGTTATGCCTATAACTAAGACATCACTAGATTTATCATTATTTTAGATTATATACTTTGCAAAATCCATATGTTACATGTGATAGAATGCTTACCATGATGAACTAGCTATCTTTATCCCATCCTTAAAACAAAATTTTATTGAAGAACTACTATGTGCTAGGATGGCATCAAGATAGAGGTAAAAATGAACTTCATCTTCAAACAAATTCTTTCCATTTTTCATCACTAAAAGAGATGACCGCCACAAAAAGTGCTGCTTCCCCCACTGCCAGGGACCCAATCTTGTCCACCCTCTGCCTTCAGTCAACAACTGAAGCCAAATTTGGCACCCTCTGCAGGTTGTGCCTGGTTCTGCGGCTTGTGATTATTTCTCCTTTCAAAGCTGTTTGCTTTTTTGTTTGTTGTTGTTGTTCTTTAATATTTTAAAGGTCTGTGTTTGGGTTTTGGATTTTTGAAGCTAATCTATCCTCAACATTAAAACCTCATCCCTAGAAGCCAGCTGTTCAGATGACCCTGTCTAACTCACCGGGTGGAGGCTGCGGGTGAGTTATGAGCTCGACAGTAGCTGGAGAAATAAATGATGTGCCCAGAGTTCACACATCGTCTATCCCCTCCTCCCCATAAACTCACACTGGGCCATAGAAGGGAGAGGAGGGAGGGGCCGGGGCCCAGGACTCGGGAGGAAGGTGAGGGGGACTGAAGAAAGCACAGTCGCCCTTAAAGTAGCCACAGGGGACCGGCCTGGCCATCAAGGAGACTCCAGCAGGAGTCTTCACCAGCGCTCTCTTTAAAAATAACGAGAACTTGGCTAAGAGAGCTTATTTTTTGTTCGTCCTATTTATTTATCACGCTATTTATAATTTGTGGAGTTAGCATTAAACAAGAAAGCTTTGCTCTTTTAAAAACACAACCAAACAACAAAAAACAGCCCGATCCCCTCCTGGCCGTGCCTGCCTGGGGTCTACACGACTCAGAAGAGCGCCTCTGGCCCGCGACTCCCTGGGCACTCGGGTCCTCTCTGTGCCCGCCCTGGAACGGCGACCCGCTATTCTCTTCCTCCCGCGATTACTCGCAGCACCATATGCTTCTTCTGATCAAACAGCGAGCGACATCGGCACCGATAATTGACGAGACCCGCTAGAAATCACGCAGAAAGGAAGCCCACTGAGACCGCTAATAATCCTGTTAGGAGCAGGGCGGCCAGCGGAGTACGCAATCGCTTTATTTTTATAAAGTAGGCGCTGACAATATAAAAGACAACGAGATCTCTTCTTTTAAACAGAAGGCGGTGGAGCATAATAGTAATTTTCCCACCAGCAATTCTCAGCACAGTTTGAATGGGAAATATAGTTTTTAATATATGTTTCCCCATCTGGTTTTTTTTTTTTTTAAACTTTTCAGGTACTTTAGGCTCTGATTCCACTCCTCCTGTGGTTTCCAGGGTCAGATGAGATTGTTCAAGGAACTGCTTTAAGACAAAACGACTATAATACTACTTAGAGTTTGGGAGTAAAATTGAACCATAATTTGAAAGTTTTCCTTTAAGATCCCCTGACAAACTTGGGGCATGTTTTGCAAGATTTTAATTCAGATAATAACTTTTAGTCCTGATGGAGGAAAGTGAAACTCCAAGCCCAGTAATGACCATTTCCTTCCCCCTATTTCCTTAAAAGAAAACAACAAACCCCAAACATCCCAAATCAACAATAACAGAAGCCTCTCTGGGTCAAATGAGAAGTTCTGGTTTGTAAATAAACAGAGATCTTCTCCTGGATTTTTGTTTGTTTGTTTAGAATTCTCTCCTTTACATTTCCAAATCCCCCTCCCCCAGCAAAAAAGTATCTAAAATATTTTTTAAAATCTGTTTATGTTATTTGAATGTGGGTAGAGAAAAGGACAGGGAAATAGAAGAGAGAAGTGTCCTCTTCCTAGCGAGTGTAAATGGTTTTGTACAGGATAGTGTTCTGTGAAGGCTCCTCTGTCCTCACAGAGTGAATCTTGCTAATCTAAATACACATTTTAAATCATGTCAACAGCTCAGCTATTCTAACTTCTAGGCCTTATAAGACAATTTCCCCAAGATCTGTTTGCCAACCTGCCACCTAGAAGATATTTTCTAAGCAGGCTAGCCATCTTAATTCAATCTTATGTTTTGGGGCACTAGCCTATTATCTCAGAGATAATATCAAGCCCAGAGTTGAAATCACCAAGCCCCAGAGTTAGTTTCAGAATCTATGAATGTCTCAAAAACTGAGAATAAATTTGCTATAAACAGTCAAGAGACTGGGTAAATTCAGGACATATTTGTTCATGAATATGCCTGCTCCTCATTTGCAGAATTACAGACATATAGAGAAATTATTGTTGGCTTAGTTAGCTCCATGTACATGGGCCTATCTATATGGTAGCAAAAATACAAGCATTTGGCAGTGTTCCTGCTTTCTGCTAGATACAATTCTAACAAGAGAAATAAAAAAAGAAAAGTCGTGTTTGGATTAGTACTACTTTCAGTTGAGCCCAGTATCTAAGTGTTGACAAAAGCACAGTTGGGCTGCTTCCCAACCAAACATATCTGATGGACTGAAGAGAAAGTATTAATGGGTTTGTAGAAAGAACCACAAAAAAGGCAACAGGAATCCTAAGTTCAGAGAGGTCCTTAGTCAAGCAGCCATGCTAAACTTCCCTTTGCAGAGAGTATGTACTTCTCTGCCCAATGGTGTAGCCTCACTCACTGTCTGGCAAATCCGCTACCCCTTCTGCCTTTGCAATTCCGTCTGGGCAAAGTCACTTACCTTCCGGGAACACTACTCTCATTTTGAGATAGCTGGTCGTGAGTCTGATTATGGATGCTTTGTCCAGCTGCGAGGTGATAGCCGAAGGCAGAGGCAGTAATTTAGCCAGTTCATAAAATTCGCTGTTTTCCTTCTCCCTCCTAGTCCGGGCAGCATTTTTGGACTTCTCTTTCATTGTGTCTCGTTCCCCCTTTCTTCTTACCACATAAGCTCCACAGATTCATCCAAAACCAAAAATAAACTTTCAATTAGGGATCATATTTAGCAAAAACATAAAGCATACTTTGAAGAGACTGGAGTCTTTGCTTCAGTGTACCGAGGGTAGTAAAAGACCAATGCAGCGAACCGAAGATACTTTCTTTAAAAATGCGGGATGCAAGTATAGGAAAGTTGCTGATCCACGGCAATCTGGACAATCCTAGGAGTCTCTGGGTATCAAAAGCCGGCGAAATCCCCGAGGAGCCAGCCTTTTCTTCTGTTCCGCGCTGCGAAACCCGGTCCTCGGAAAGTCGACATAATAATCCCCGACGTTGGCGCTTCAGTCCCGCAGCAGTTGAGGCGGCTCCGGCCCCTTTGGGAAGATCAGGAATGCCAGACACCTCTTTCAGGCCACTGTGAAGACAACAGCATCAGAGCGTAAGAGATCTGCAGCTCCACGATCACTCACGCACTCGCCCGAATTCCGAAAAACTGCCGGAAAGGGCCTCAGCGCGCCTCTGCTTTCCTCGCCAGGCTCGCCAGTGTTTTTGTTTGTTAAGATATGGAGAAATCAGCAGCGAGACTGAGGCCCTGCAAATAATGCTCGCATTCCCTCACCCATGTCAGCCACCTTCTCCAGCCCCCTGGGAAGTTACCCAAACAACAAAACGCATATTTTTGAAGACCCTTAGGAGACCCTCCGCCACCGGTCCCCGTGCCCGGGCCCAGGCCACGCGCACGTCCCAGGAAAGCAGGTTTCTGCAAATCAGAATTCCTCCACGGCGCGGCGGGCCTGTCGGTCCCCCTACTCTGGCAGATCTGGAACGTGGCTACCTCTCTAACTTGACTCTCAAGTCTCAGGGATTCCTCAAAAAGTGGCACTTACACATCAAGTCTCTCGGGACTCCCAAGGCGACCCGAGGCTCTCCCTGCCCAGCAGGGGCGGCAACACGCCGGGCACGGCCGCGCCAGGTTAACAGGTGGCACATTCACGACAGCCCCCTGCAGGCACCGGGGCTGGGGGGTGGGAGGCGGCCGTAGAGCTGCGGGTGTCGCCGGGAGGGCGCAGGGTGTCTTCCGCTTCACCTACCTTCAGTCCCCGCTGGCGGCCAAGGGTGCGGAGGCGCCCAGCTCTTAACTGTACTCATGCCTACCGTCCAACTAAGCGACTCCGCCGGCCTCCCCGCTTCCCACCGGCAGAGAGGAGCAGAGCGCGCCCCGGCTCCCTTTTCTTTTCCTGGTCACGAATTGGGGGAGGGGTGCGTGGGAGAAGGAGGGGGATGTGGGCTTTGGGACGGGTGAGGTGGTTTGAGAATCCTCCTCCTCGGTAGTTGCTACGAAGCCAATATTATTCCTAATTGGAAACCGAAAACGCCCCCCTATAACTTCTTTATAGCTCACGGGGTTTAGCTTCAACTTCTCTCCCGGGCTCCCTCTCTCCCGCCCTCCCCTAATGCCACTCACAAACCTCCTCGCCTCCGATTGGCCCGGCGCGCCCCGGGGCGCGGCGCTCATTGGCCGACCGGGCTGAGTGACTCGAGCACGTCCCGCGCCGTTCCCCGCGCGCCCCCGCTCTCGGCTGGCCGCTCGCTACCCGCGTGGCCGCCGCGCCACTAACGAGCCCCGGGCGCCCGTGTCCGCGCTGCCCCGCAGCCGCCGCTGCTCTCGGCCTCGGGCGTCACGGCGGACGTGCAGGACCCGCGCTCCGTGCGCTCCCTGGGGTCGAGCGGCTGCGCGTTCAGCCCTGAACGCCGGCCCCTCAGTGCCAGGGGCGCCCGAAGCTCGGGCTGCAGCCCTGGGCCGCAGAGCTCGGGCCGGGGGGCGTGGGCTCCCGGCAGGCGGGGCAGGAGTCGCCGAGACTGCGGGCGAGGTTCGCCCAAAGGCCGAGCCGGCGGCCGTGCGCCTCCCACGGGCAGGTCGCAGCGCCCAGGTCGCAGCGCCCAGGGCGTGCGCGGGTCCGGTGTCGGGCTTCATCTGTCTGAAACCACTGCGACACCCAGTTACTCGCCAGAGAAGATAAATATACCTGTCTTGAAATTAATCTCAAAGAAGAGCGTCTTTTTCGAAATGGGTCGAGTTTGGGGGCTGATCTGTTCACCGTGGAAAGCTCAGCCGTGGGAGTTTTCCTATGGAGAGCAGATGGGGGACACTAGGGGACAAGAGGTTGCATTTCAGGCCATAATAGAGTTAGGTAGAGTGGTTGATATATAGATAGATATCTCACAACAATCCGTTATCTTAAACGTGAGCGAAGACCTTGTGTTGGGTTTTGTTTCAGGAAGCAAAAGTCCAACCTGAATATTCCTTACAGAAAGGATACAGTCTGCAGGAATGAATTTCCCACATTCACAATTCCCCAACAGGAGCTGCTTAAACAAACGCTTGTAAGTACTATGGCTGACAAATTATATTTGAGACCCTCTAATTTAAATCGCCTTCTCCCTGTCGTCTGAGGAAAGACAACAGATAACGGGAAAAAGTTGACTTGTCCCTCGAAGACAATTAATGCCGCTTTCGAATCACTCCCTACAGGAGCGATTCCCCGCTTGGTTTTGGTGCTGCTGGTGACCACGGTTCTGCTCCTGGAGGTGCACGTGGAGGAAGCTGTTTCATGGGCGATAAAAGACAGTGAGAACACCAGTAATGTTGCACTCGTCCTCTCGTCGTGGCGCTAATTGCCGCCAAGAAAACACACACTCTGAAGAAAGGCGTGTGTCATTCTGCTGATATTCGGAACAACTTCGTGTTAAAAAATACAGACATCTGCCACCTCCTTGCCGGCCGAGGCAGTCAGCTCGCAAAACGACAATGGGAGTTTTCTGGGGGTTTTTACACATCTGGGAAACACCTGGCAAGGTGTTCTAGATTCTATTCTTCTAGATAGAAAGAATAAGAGAAAAGAACTAAACATAGAGATTTTAGTAGGTATTTCAAAACTGGAATCCAGCTAATGGGCTCTAATCTAGAAGTCATTTCCCCAGAGGCTGTAGTCACTTAGAGACCTAGCTCTGGGCTGGTTCCCACCACCAAGTGATGCACTCTTAACAGGAGATGAGTAGGAATACAGAGAAATGTCCTGTGGCTCCCTTATGCACAAGATTCCAGAAAGACCACATAAGATGAAGTTAACTACTACATGTAAAGGGGGGGGGGTGCGTCTGGATTGGGTGAAAGAAACTTCCATGACCCTTCTTCCCCCCACCCAGCCCCCAACAACCTGGGCAGATCTTAGGGGTAAAATGGAGCGGCCAGGCAAAGCAATGACGCTTTGGGGGTAAGAAGCGGTTTTCTATTCCGACTGTGTTCTAGAAAAGATTCCAGTTAAGTTGGCGGTTACTGTATACTCCATCTCCACCTCAAACAACGTGCAGGAGTGTGAGTGCTTTTCTGGGTTCTGAAACCCCCGGCACAGGGCAAGGACTCTCTGGGGAGTCAGGCAGCGCCCGGCTCCCCTCCCCATACAGGGGAGTATTTTGCCTTCAGAAGCAAAACGGCAAAAATGAGTGTGGAAGTCTTTACACCAAGGACGACATCCTGGGGAACCAGGCTGGCTGCTCCAGCCTCCCCTTGAAGCTTAGTAGTCGATGAACCGAGTAGATGTCGTTTAATAAAGTGAATGCACGGCCGTGTGATGACGGCCCCCTCGCTAAGTCCTCCGCACACAACTGTCTGAGCCGCGTTTACCGAGAGAGTAAATTAGCATGGCGACGTAACACCTGTTTTTCTAATCTTTGAACCTAGGCTGGAACCGGAATGCGGCTCCTTCATTCCCCCGCCCAGGCGCGGGGACCGGCCTCGCACCCTCCTGGCGACCCCGCCCGCCTGCGCGCACTAGCATCGCGCCAGCGGGGGGGCGTGAACCGGCACCTCAGGTGCCTCCCACGTGTTCGGAGAATTTCTGTTCGCCTCTAGCTTGAGAAATTCTAAATCAATTTCTTAAGGCTAAGAGGCGAATCCTACCCATCTCTTTGCCAATGTAAGGGGAAAGACCCAGAAAGGAAAGAGAGGGGAACGCGCGACCCACCACAACCAAACAGGAATACCAAGGGCGTCTAGGCCGCCGCTTCCTTGCACGGGTGCCTCAAAATCTAGCCCTCTGGCCCTCAGGCACTGTCTACGCGGCCCCAAAAGCGATCCTAAAGCGGGAAGAAACCGGAGCCGATCTACAAACAAACATCTTCCTTCCCCGTCCTCCCCATGACCAAGGAGGGCAAACAGCCTACAGTGACGGCCACATTGTGCCCCTGGGAGTCTCTTCCACCTCTGGGGCAACCCTAGATGCTGCCCGCATTAAGCCCTCCCTCAGCCGGCCGGGGCGCCAGGACGTGCAGGCGCCCAAGGCTCCAGTCCGGGCGGCAAGGCGTGCCCGCCGCGGCGGAGCCAGAGCCACACGCCCGGGCGTGCGGAGTCCCGCGCGCTGCGCGCGCCCTGAGTGAAGAGGTGGGCGCCTGCGAGGGCCGCCTGACCCCTCCCAACATCAGGCAACATCCAGACTCCAGAAGCTGAACCCTTGGGTTATAAAAGCACAAGTGAACGCCCAGCGGAATTCTGGTGCAAACCCCCGAGGCGGGTTTCAGCGCGGCGGCCCCGACCCGGGCGCACTGTGCCGCCGACCTCTGCTCGGGCACAGACCTCTATCCTGCCTTCTGGTTACTCCTCTCTGCGCCCTCCTTCTTGAGCATCTTATCAAAATCAGAGTGATTTCTGTCTCCCCCACTCCCCCCCAACACACTTTTTTGTTTGTTTTTTACAGACTGCTAGGGGCGCACACATGCACTTTTACACGCTTGCACATTACATATACACAATTGTACAAAGAACGCAGGCACGGATTTTGCTCAGTGGCCAAGGTCAGAATGAGGGATATGTTTATAATCAAGATGCAAAATCTGAAGATGGTCACTTAAATATCTCAGTATGTTATACCCAGATGTTCACTCTCTACCACTGGAAAGGAGAATTTATCTAGGGAAATATTAATGCCTAGGGAAATACTAACATTTTTCTCCTTCCATGTATGTAAGTGAATCCTGCTCTACCCCATTTTATTACCACATTTAGGACGTTGTCATGTTGAGGCAGAAACATGGGCCCCTTACAACTTTGACCCGGTGGGGTGAGTCTGCTAGAAAACAAAGGATAGGAGGAACCTCCAAAAAAAATGGGTTATGTTTAATATTTTTTGAATTACGGCAAATATTGCTTGTTTGATCAGGACGTTTTGGAAAGTATATTTTCTGCAAAAAACAAAACAGCCTTCTTCTGAGGTACCGCTTCTCAGATGCCTGCCTGAATTGACCATTGAAATGTCCAGAAAATTAGCCTCGGCGGTTACACACTGAAAAAAAGAAAAGAAAATGCACCAACTTGAAAAATGAGAGTGGCGAATGCAAGCAAAGGTTTTTTTTATATAGTTCTAAAATATTCTGGAAAATATTTTCCACAGATTTTGAAACTGCAATCGAATATAACCTTGAATAGGTCGCTGAGATAGGAGGCTGAGTGCCTCTTGAACTGTGCAAACTTTAAACGAACTGAATTATTCAAACCTTAACAGTAGCTGGAAAACTTTGATGCTCCGCATTCTGAGGACAGGAGCGGGTGGGCGCCTGCCGCTCCAGGCGCGGGCATTTTTCACACTTGTCCTGTCCAGAAATCCAGCTGGGGATGATGTGTGTGTATAATTCAGCAAAGCTGGGCACAGGAGCACAACCAAGGTGCTCAAAAGCTGAAGATGAAGGTTGGTTTGCCACTTTTGATTGAAAGACACTTTGATCGGTTTCCGAATTTCAGGCCAAATCATGCTCACGCTGCGCTTCAGAAGCGCATGCCAGGCCTGGGCTCCCGAGTACCACTCGCGCGGCCAGGACGCGCCGCGGGAGGCGGGGCGGCAGGAAGGGGGCGGAACGGGGTCAGTGGCCTTGAAAAGGGGGTTGAGGGGCATCAGAGCTGGGTGGATCCAGAGGGCGTGTGCTTCACTCCCCCCCCCACCCCCCACCTCCCGGCTTTGGGCTTTGAGAGCCTTTGGATTAGATTTTTGGGAGTTTCTCCTCTGAGCCCCAAATTTGCTCCTAGCCCCTGGGACCAATGTCCCCGGGACTATGCCCCGGATGCCTGAAGAGGACCCCTAGCCCTGTACTCTCTAGGCGGAGTGGGTAAGGCATTCTCGTGAGGCAGATCCCTCTAATCCACAAACAGATGACCGGCTTCCAGCCTGGCCGAGCCTCAGGGTCATGTGGGGTGGAGGTGGTGGCAGAGTGCGGCTTTTAAATATGGACACTAGGGCCCCACTCTGATTTAGGAATGGGAAACCCTGCTGGACTCTGGAGTTGGCATTCCATAAAGGGTCCGAGCACCAGGCGGCTCCGGGAGCCGCAGAAGCAGGGGTGAGGACGAGCTCAGAGCGAGGAG